AATCATTATGTATGAATAAAATATATAGTATAAATTATACTAACTTAATATATATTAATTATTACTAGAAGATTATTGATGCGCATAAAAAATTTTTTCATCTATATTAATTTATTTATTATTATACAAATTTTTTAGCATTTTAAAACTAAATAAAGTTTTTAGAAATTAAGAAAAGATAATCTATCACATTATGAAAATTTCATATAAAAGTAATAATAAAAAATACAAAATACAAGAAATTTCGATAACATTGCATCAATCTATGAAATTTACAATATCTATGACAAAATTGATAAAAAATACAGTAATACAAAGTCTAATACAAGTTCTTTTGTTCAGTGATATTTATAAAGTAGCTATTATTACTATCAAGACGTTCTGCTAAATCATTATAAAAACAACTGATAAATTATACAATGTGACACGTGTTTTCTGCAATGATAACTAAATTATGTAGAATATATGTAATAGACATTTCTATTGTAATGTTTATTATATTAATACAACTAATTATATGACAAATTTACGATATACGACATTACTTAAATGACAAAATGATCAACTAACCTCAAAAATTTCGTTCTCATTCCCCCGTCATGACCAGTCATGTTTCGGCGCCATGTTAACACTTTAAACATTCGCGCATGTTGGAAAGTTCAGAATTCGTGCGAATTTCTTCTTGTCGTTAAATATTTTGAAATGTAACTTTCACCAACTATGTTTATTAAAATGAACAAAAACCTCTCACTTAGATAATCTTTATAGTTTGCACTGCATTGAGATATACGAAACAAAGTACAATATTTATAAAAACAGATGAGAATTCTTCACCGGCTTACTATGGGATGATTCGCGATACGACAGCGCCAATGTCGTCAGCTGCCAATAAAATGGCGGTTTTTTTATTGATATTTGAATTTGCGGTTAATCATTCTATTCTATACGAGATATTTTTAATGTTGTACACAAAAAAAATATATAGAGATCAAATTTTATGATTTGTAGTGACAAATGATGATTTTGTGATTTTCATGTTTTATAAAATCTTATAATAATTTCGAATATATATTTCAGATTTTAAAAACAAATAAAATATATTAAAATATATGCATTAATATTTATTAGTTAAAGAAAGTTTAAATTGTTATTTTATTAACATTTAGGAAATTATAATCTTCTATGTATATTTATGAAAAATAAAACATAAGTCAAAACATAAATAATAAATTTTTTTTTTTTAATATTTATTTTCCAGTTTTTGATTTTCATAACATAAAACACTTATTGTTATTATTTTTACATAGATTCAAATCTCAGTATAAAAATATTATGATTAAAATATAATTATATTGATACATACCAAAAAGATTCTGTATAAAATATGCAAATATTATATACATTGCATACTAATCTTAAGATTTTCACAGAGTAACAAATAAAAAATTACAATTTGGCATATGAAAATAATGTGTTATTTATGAAAAATAATAATATGAAAATAATTTAGATTTACAAGTTATCAATCAAAAAAATAATAGTTAAAAAGATTAAGAAAGAAAAATGCAGATTAGATCAAGATTAAAGAACAATTTAATTACTTACAGTAATTTATTACTCGCGTAATACTGTTATAAAATTTTCTGCAAAATTTAAATCTGCTCTTGAAGGATATACTAATTTCATATTACCTTCCATGTCTACTACTTTTACTTGTTCTATGACTAATTTATGATAATTTGAAGCATTTTCTTGTTCTGAGACACATCCTAAACCAAAAGTAACTAGTTCCTTTAAAAATTGATCTAATACATTCCTAATAAAAAAAAAGTAAAAGTTTATAAATTTATAATCAGAATAATTTTTTTATGTTAATTTTAATATTTTTAATAAAATTAATTAATTTAATAGTAAATATTAATTATAATTAATGAATTTTAATGTTACCTGCAAATTTGATAGGACGAAGCACTGGTTACTTCTATTAATATTGCTTGGGTATTTATTGACATTTTTGTAATATCACTATTCGTTATAGGTGGAAATGATATAACTTGTTCTGAAGCATCTAACAAACAAGGGAAGTAAGGTTTACCTTCTAATAGATAAAGATATTTATGAATGCCAGAATATACATTGCGTTTTTTTTCTTTCCTTAAATTATCAGCTTCAGTTTGTAATTGTTTGAATAGTTCAGAACCAGTATAAACTTTATTACGCATTAATGGTTTGATTTCTAATTCATTTGGTGGTTTTGCTGTATATGTTAAATCTCCTAAATATTAAACATGACATTAATGAAATGTATCAGATAAATAAATGTAATTTATATATCTGAATTATTTCTATTGTTTTTCATATTTACCAGTAGTAATCAATTTTAAGTCATGTGTAGCAATAGTAGCTGCATTTCTTTTTTCACATATGCCATCGTGTAATTTAGTTTGAAGTTGAATAAATTTTTTAAAACTATCTTCTGTGAAGCTCATATTTCTAATAATACAAGCTGCAATGTAAGGTCTAATATTTTTCACATATTTTGTAACCTTAATTATTGGTGTATCATTTGCCATTTTTAGTATTTTCATTTTGTGTGTCAAATTATCCATTACATTAGCATTATTTTCACTTTCTGATAACTTTTGTACCTTTTTTCCTTTTTTTGATTTTGAATTTGAATTAACAGAACCATCTTGTTTAAGACAATGCAATTTTACATATTCTAATATTTGTTTATTATGACATTGATCAACTAATTTTAATAATCTTTTGTCTGACAATGGATTTCCTTTTAACTGAAGTTCCTTGAGTTTATTACAATCACCGATCTCACCTGGAATGACTATACAAAAGAAAAAAAAAATCAGATCAATTATATAAAATAATATTAGATATATTTGGCATCATTTAAGAAATTACCTGAAATTCTATTGTTTGCTACATTTATTATTTTTAAAGATGGAAGTTGATTTATAATTGTAGGAATTTCTTTTATTTGATTTCCCATAACATAGATTTCAGAAAGATGAACCAATTCTGTATAGCACACATCAGGAAAATCTTCAAACTGATTGTTCGAAAGATCCAAAACAGTCAACTTAACATTGTCAATTTGTGTAGGTAATGATTTCAAAAAGTTCGAACTGAAGTTCATAGTTGTTAATTGTGGAAGTTTACCGATTTCATCTGGTAAAGACGTCAACTTGTTCCTAGAGCAATCGAGAACCTTTAGTTTTTCTAATTTCCCGATTGTGCTAGGTATCTTCGAAATCTCATTCGAATGCAATACCAATGTTGTTAGATTTTGCAATTTTTCAATTTCTTCTGACACTTCGTGTAAACATGTCTGTGTAATATTCAAATAATTCAAATGCTCTAGGTTAAATAAAGACTTGTCGAAGCCTCTTTTTTGAATCAATTCAGAAATTGCCGGACCTGACAACACTAATTCATGTTTATTCTCTGCAGCTGCAGTTTTGATTATATGCCATGAATTATCGAGCGTCATTATTATTAAGTATTAAATGAATTTTTAATAAAAGGGTAATGTTATTTACGTAGTTTCAAGGTTACTTGCCGGGTTGATCAATTTGAAACATGCGTTATACGATTATAACGACATCTATATACATATGCAATTTAAAAATTGCAATTGAAAAGAATAAATGAATTTAAGACGAGACATCAAATAACTTAAACCTAATAAAAGTTTTGTAGAGATATATAACGAATAGCCATACATGATTTGATTAAACAATAATGATAAACATATTTTAGTAAATTAAACTATAAACAGATTTTAATATTATCTATGAATTATATTTTGATATTTAATCATAAACTTGATAAAAAAATAAAAAATAAATAAAGACTGAATATTAATCAGCAATTTTAACTTGTAACATAAATAATTAAATTTATTTATAGTATATAATTATATATTCTTTTCCTGTAATTATAAAGAAAAAATTATTTTCATTTTTATCAATATATATACATAGTACATAGTACATATGATTAATTAATTAATCATTATTCTTAATTTATCGGAAATTCTTTTTACAAAATTACTGAAATTTTAATTTTTCTTTCTTTCTTTTTAAAAAATGAATTATTTTTAAATTTCGTAAATGTCGATTTATGTATATGTAAATAAAGTTCCTAATAAATGCAAATTATCACTTGAAAGTTAGTATTTTAATTATCTAATTCGTATAATAGCAAAAAAGGTGTCATGTAAAAATTTATCTTTCAAATAAGTCTGTATATATTGAACCGGTTTTTTAAATATATTTTACTTTGATACAATTCTTTTTATCTTAAACGAATTATAATCTAGACTGAAACTACTCTAGACTGAAACTACTAAAAAGAATTTTAAATTTTAAATTTTCGTTGAAAACTAAATTAGATTAAAATTTTAATATAATACGAAGAAATGAAAATACTGTTTTAAAATGAAATAATTATATAATTATGAATTAATTATAACAATTATATTAATATATATATAAAATCGAGCAAAAAGATAAGTATTTGAATATATTTATTTTCATTATTACATTAAACATTCTCTAATACCTATTAAAAGATTCAATGGGAAAGAGGATAATTTGACAGATATATACGATCGTCATTACAATGATGTTTCAATGTAAAGTTCCTAGTAAAAAGAAAAAAGTATCATAACTCATAACGAATATGATGTGATATAAGAAGAAAGACTTTATTACTGACCTTCGAAGTTCATAGTCATCGTTGTGAAGGAACTGGCAAGGTCTATAGAAAATATCGAATAGCAATGATAGGAAGGAGTTATCCAATGAGATTTGCATCTGAATAAAGTGCGAAGGAGGATGTTAATTTCAATCGACGTGAAAGAGCGACATGTAAATAATATTTTACTACTTCAAATGACCCATCAAGATTTTTAATTTAATCATAACTTCTCTTCCGCATTTGTAAATGTTTTCGTTTTTTTTTTTTTATATTCAGAATCGAATCACATGGAAATTGTAATATATTTCGTATTTTTATAATAAGTAATAAGAAATATAAAAAGAATCAAATTTTTTGTTTTTATTTCATTTTTTTTATAATATTAAATTATATTCAAATTTTAGTAATATCATTATATATTAAAAATATAGAAGATAAGATATTAAAATAGCAAAATTATAGTTTTATATGCTAAAGCTTTTATATACAGTGTATTATATATATATACAGTTTTATATTTTTTTACATTAAAAAAGAGATAAATTTGTTAATATTTTTTTATAACAGAGACAAACTAAATATAAATAATATTTATATTATTAAAAATTTTTTATGCTTCGATAAATTTTATTCTATCATCCAATAATCTTCCTTATAAAATTTCTCAAATGTATACATAAAAAAAAAAGAAAAATGATTCAGAATTATGAATCAATGATATTATTTACAACCTCACCGATGACATTCGATGATTCCCTCCATGACCATCATCCCATACATCAAAAATATCATGTCGTGTAAACCTTTGAGAAATCGTACGAATAAATCTCGACTTCCTGTTACCCAAAGTCCACTAGTTATCACCAACCGTCCCCGATCGTTTCCATATCAAGCGGAAGCATCGAGCAAATCCACGGGTGGGGTTTTTCAGGTGCGTATAAAGTCAGGGAGAACCGGTGAATTTTCGTCAGTGGAATCAGTTCCAACACCTTGCGAAGACGCTTCTAAATATTCTTTCGAATACGATACAACTCGCTATGAATCGTATATCCTTTATCTCTTTCTCCGTTTTATTGGTTTCGGTATCAGCCTGGCCATTTCGTCGTCGAGACATCTTCGACAATGCGGTGGACAGTCCTCACGGTGTGATCGCTCATTTGCAACATTTTGGCGAGATGTTGTACCGGAATCCGGACAACGAAACTGGAGCCATTGTAGCGAATTGGCACGAGGGATGGGACCGCAATCCGGAAGAGTTGGGTAACTATGCGGAGGGTGATATTCTGTTTCCGCCCCAGCTCGGCAAGAACGGACTTAAAGCGGAAGCTGCACGGTGGCCTGGTGGCGTGGTGCCGTATATGATTAGTCCTTATTTCGGTGAGTAATATCGCACACTGGAAGCGAGAAAGGACGACTCTAGTTAATTCTTGTTTCATTGTAGAAATTTAAAAAATGGCATCTTTAATTTTTTACCTTCATGGATTTAAATTTTCTTTGAGAAAAGAATTAATAAATATTGTCCATATTGTATAATTATCCTTTCGTTTATTCTTAATTTTGTTTATTTTTAATTTATCTATCCTTAATTTTGAATTCTTTGTAAAAAAATTAACAGAATAATCTGATAACATTTTTTAATTCTACTTCAGGATAGATATAAATTTATGAAAATCTAGAAGGAAAAAAAAAAAGGAATTGTTAATCGGTTTGAATTACAGACACCGCTCAGAGAAACTTGATTTACGAAGCAATGAACGATTACCACAAGTACACGTGTGTTAAATTCAAACCTTATACCGGTGAAGAAAGCGATTATATCAGGATCACGGCTGGCAATACTGGTTGTTGGAGCAGCGTGGGAAGAATCGGTGGTAAACAAGACGTGAATCTTCAGGTTCCAGGGTGTTTATTGAAGAAAGGTACCGTGATACACGAACTGATGCACGTCATTGGTTTCCTGCACGAGCAGAGCAGATTTGAACGGGACGAGTATGTCACGATTCAGTGGAATAATATTTTGCGCAGTAAGTGGTTTTCTCCATTCGAAAGTGAAGCTTCAAATTAATATTCCTAAAATAGATCATGTATTATTTATTTCCTACTAACATTTTATTTCAATAATTGTATCATGCAAGGTATCTCATAAATATTAAAAATATAACCATTGCTCGTCGATTTAAATTTCTTTTTAATTTAAATTAAATTTAGAATTTTAAGAAATTGTAAAAAGTTTTGATTTCTTCTTATATATTTGTCACTTTATTCGAATTCTTAAATTATGAAATATTATGAATTATTATGAAATAACATTATTCTTTAAAATTTCAATTAAATATGAGGATAAATAATATTTATTTAGATCATGCCGGAAATTTTGAGAAAGCCTCGAAGGAAACTACCGACGCGTTCGGGATTGGATACGACTATGGCAGCGTAATGCATTACTCTGCGAACGCGTTTTCCAGGAACGGACAACCTACCATAGTGCCAAAAGTAAGTAATAAAACGATAAGTCGAAATTATCAAGGCCCCTTAAACTTTCTAACTTTAAACGATGTGGCTTTTCGAGATCTCGTAAATATACGAACGGTCTATTAATAAAAATTTGATTTATGTCGATATCATATTACGCGTGACACGTCGCCGTTTAAGGTTTTCTATAAATGATGATTATCTCTCTTTAAAGATCTCTTAAGTCTGTTTTACATTTATGAGTTTGCGAACCTTGAAGAAGAAAGATAAATATGATAGCAATTAGAGGCAATCGTATCTCATCAATTAAGTCAAGATTTTAATATTTCGATAATTTTTTCCTTTTATTTTAGTAATAAATATTTTTTTATCCTAATAATTTTCTGAGAATTTTAAATAATTGTAAATAAAAGTAACTGTTTTTTCTTAAAAATTATCTTACCTTTTTTAGAATTGTAATCGACAGATCGAACAGAATCTTTCTTTCGAGTGATTTATTTTTAACGATTTCGTACAATCCTCTTTTTATTTTGTTTAAATTTTTAAAAAAGAAACTATGATTTTTTGATACGTAATTACGAGAAAATATTTTATATAAAATTTTTGCAAAGAAAAAGTCCACGTGTGTATGTGCTGTGGATGTTCGTAGGAATCAGGCGGCCTTCTAAGTTTTATTGGCGAAATATTCCAGGGTGATACGAGAGTTCAACTGGGTCAGAGAGAAGGATTCAGCAAAAGAGATATACAGAAAATTCGAAAAATGTACAAATGCAACAAACGAAGACGGAGTAGCTATTGATTGCGGGGAATCGAACGTTCCTTTGCTGTATTTTTATTGGAGCGTAATAAAATGAATCTAGTCTCTTACAATTTAGTATACATCGCGCTATTTTTACAACTACATCGAAAGGGAATGAAAACGAACTGGATTTCGAAACGGAAATGGTAAATCGATAATGACGAGGATGCGTGACTTGCATCCGGAAAAGAAGCTTTCTTTGTTTATAGGAGAGTTTATGTGAATTAATATTTATGATTATTAGTGATTAAGAAAATGAGTTTAACAGTTTGTAATAATGTAATTACACGTACGATAAATAAATGTATTCTTCCTGAATTGGTTTTTTAATTTTAATACATCCACAAAAAATATATTATAATATATTTCTTAATATGTTTCTAATAACATTCAATTGTAAATAGTATTTGAATATGTATTCTTTAAAATACATCAATATTAATTATTATGCTTTCATAATTAAAATTTGGAATATACTATATTAATATAATATTATTTTGATAAGAAGAAAAATCTTGTATGTGGTAGGATCAAAAGGTATTGGCAAAATATTCTGGATTAAGACTAAACACGAACTGGGTCACAGAGATAAATTCACTGAGAATATCCGAAAGACATATAAATGAAACGAATGCCAACAAAAGTAGATATCATTGTAGATGCTAACAATGTCAAGTTTATATAAATTTGCTTGATAATTTTTAATTCGATTATGATCTTGTGCTTCTGAAAATAAAATTATTTTTGAATTGTTCAAGATAACTGATTATTGCAAATATAAAAATAATTTCATAATTCTAAAATTTCATTTCACTGATGGCACATAAATAAAATTAAAAACGTTAAAATTAATGAACTATATGTTTGATGCAAATACATAAATATCGATTATTTATCTGTTGGAATCGAAAAATTATTATTTATCGCCATGATTATTTTTATTTCACAATGATAAAAATCACCAATTCGAAGAATACATTAGAATACATACCTATAATCTTATGAAGACGTATTATGTAAAAATATTATATAAATATAAATATATAAATAATATAAATAAAAAATATTACTAATTTTATAACAAATTTCAAAAATAGCTTTTAAATACGTAATTTTATGTTTAAATACAAAAAATATAAAAATATGTTTTTTTTATAGGAATCAAATTGATAAATTTAATAATATATCTCACCTTTACTATTTGAAAGAATCATGATATTGTTTTCCGGATGAAATAACTGTAAGAAGAATAGAAAAATGGCACGAAAACATAACCATCAACTCGGAAGAGCTGAGATCTTCTACAGAGAGTGACATTCTATTTCCAGTAGGATATAAAAGGAGTGCTCGCAAAACGTGATACGTGATCCAACGATGTGGTTGCTTATGTTATCAGTATTTCCAAGACCAGACAGTTTTATTTCTTCATTTCTATTTTCTTAATATTATTTGTAAAGAAATGTTATTATTGTAGTAATTTCAAATGGTTTATTATTAAATTATTTTTTATCTTTTATATATTGAACATTTTTTCATCATTATTTTTCATTATTTATATTTCATATTATATTTTCTATATATATATAAAATTATATATAATTATATATAATTTTTATTCTATTGTTTTTGTTGTAATAAAATTATAAAATTTCAATTAATTTCAGAGAAAATAGAAAATACGTGAAAGAATCATTGAAATTAAAAATAATACTTACTAACAATATAAATTATATTTATTATATTAGAATAATTTTATTTGATACTATTATTGAACTATTTACAGTATCCATGCCCTTTTCCTGAAAAAAGAAAGGGTTCAAAGCAGAGGTAGCTACCGCCATTAATTTTCTAAAACTACAAATAATCTAGGATTTATCATATTTAAATGAATTTAAAATTTTTTAACGATATAGAGAATATTTATAATATTTTATAAAAATTATAAATGCGCACAGCGCTACCTTAGCTTTTTTAAAAATTGAAATATTGAAAGAAATTTGTAATTAAATTCATCGTATATCTTTTTAATTTCCTCTTATAAATTAGAAACTTCTTCATTTTTCAATTTTTAAAAATAATTCAAAGTGAAAACCAATTCAGATTTCTTAAAAATATTTCAAAGATTCATTTTTAAAGAAAAATTTTATAATTATTTGAAAAATATTCAGAAAATAGATCAAACATAATTTAAATAATTAAATAATTAAATTATATTTATTTTCAATTACGTTTCTTTTTAAAAATCAAATTTTCATTTAAATTCAATATTTTATAAATCGATGATCAATTATAAATTTCTTTCTGTGTAATTTTTCATTTCAAAGGAAGTTTCCTTTTAATGAAAAAACTTCTTTCAGCCGACCCAGGTCCTCTTAATGAAGTCTGCGGCGCGTTCTCCTATCATAATAGCGGGCGCATTTGTGTTACCGGAAATGACCCTTGGCATGATACTAGTATCCGCTACTCTGACACCTCTCACTCCTCTGACTCTTAATTGATTGTCTACTACAGCGAGAGGATCGTCCGGTGGGCCCATTTTGCAAGAACCTGCTTGATGGTTTTCTGGCGCAGTATCATGCTTTACAGCGCATTCCCAATAAGCATCGCAACCGAATTCTAAGTGCTCACAATTTTTCACGGGTGTACGATCTAATTGAAATCCATATCTGTAAGAAGAAAATGAAATTTAACGTGGAAAAAACATTGTTAAAGTATTTAAACGGATGTAATATTATAATATATTTTATTATAATATTTTTTAATCATTTTTGTTTTGATCCTTTTTTATAATATTTATATAACTTAAATAAGATATAATTTTCATATAAAATAACGAAAATTAAAAAAATTGATACATTTTCATTATTACGAAATGATTAACGTTATATTTAACTTAAATAACGAAACGATCATTTTGATATTTTGATATTTTTATAGAATATAGTAATGTAATTATATTATATACAATAAATAAATGCTGAAAGTCATTAACTAAAAATAATAGCAATAAATAGCATTACCTCTTTTGCAAATAAAATATATTTGTGTTTAAATAAAATAATGTTTGTTCGAATAATTCCCCCACTAAGGATATTGTAAGGTAAAACAGATTTCGTCCAAGGTTTTACTCGATTGATAACATCCAATTGTTTATCGATAGATAAATGTTATTTTTACAAAAAGCTTCTTTAATAAGATTGTTAATATTTATTTATTTTGATATGATATTGCAATAATGATCATAACTGATTTTTATCGTACTATAAAAAGAGAAAAAAAAAAAAAATAAAAATATAAAAGAATCGTAATTCTAAAAAGATTGTGAAACATTAATTTAATAAGAAAAATAAATTTAGAATCTATGAATTTACATAGTCTAATATATTCAATGATCTGTTACGATCTATTAGCAAACACTAATTGAATAAAATCGAAGATGCTATTGATCTTAGTTAAAACTACTCAATGAGAGGAAATCGATACGTATATAAATTACACTTGGAGATTACAAAAAGAAAGTGTCGTACCTGCTGAGAGCCTCAGTTTCAGACAACCTGATACTGAATTTAATAGCCTCTATAAGACCCGCTACGTCATCAGGATGGCTCAAATACTTCGGATAGATCAACGGCTTCGAAAGAGGATCGTTATTTCGTAGACGAAGGTAACCACGACTCTTCGGATGAAGATATGTTGGAATAATGTAAATCGTTCGGTTATTACCCTTCGTTTCACCGACCATACCCGTTTCTGCGCAATCTGCTAGGTATCCACCAAAGATCAACTGAACATCCGGATGATCCTCCTTTGGATTCGCGTATTTCGTATTTATCATTGCTGTTACCTCGGAAATACCTGTTAATTATATGGAAAATAACTGGAGAATGTCATATAGTATGATTGATATAAAATATAATTGATATAATATAAAATGTATCGAAAATTGTGATATAATTCAAAATTCCTAAAAGGAAATAATATGAACTCTAATCATCATCTAATTTAAATACATTTATTTCATGATAAAATTTTAATATAAAGCATATTACGAAATATTTTTAAATCTCAAATGTTTTTTCAAACATCTTCTTAGATCACGAAACAAAATACAAGCCACGATATTAATAGAGATTATTTCAACGAAAATCTAATAAATCGTTGTTCGATCGTTACCTTGTAAATTACTACGATGTAATTAAACTTACGAGTTATACCTAAGGAATTGTTATAGATTGAAACGATTGAGATTTGTGCGAAACTTGTGATCGATCATAAAACGACGAGAACACGCGTGCAATGACGACGAACAGTTTGTGGAAGTGCACAAACCGACGAAGCAACGAATCGAACGCTAATTGGTCCGATTTCGTAGCAGGTCACGTTATTGGTCGTGGGTGATTGGTGGAAACGACTCAACAACTTATGAACTCGTAAAATGTACTTTCAAAACTAGTCAGTCGTTAGAAACCACGATAGAGTAATTTTTCGATCGCTTTCGGGTCAAATGATGGTAAACGAACCGATTGAATACGCCGTTGCGTCATTAAATTGATCGTGACAAACAACACGAACTAGGATTATTGTGTAAGAAACTTTCACTGACTGCAGACACTCGTAATTGTTTTGATACAGCTCGAATATCAAATATTTGATGAGCTTTTGCTATAGTTGCTTTTATTTCTTTGATTTTTTGGAAACGATTTTATGAATTAGTTTACAAGAAAATTCTAATTGTTGCATTATAATTTATAGTAGATTTTTTATAATATAATTATAGATAATACTTTTAAATATATTTTTAACTTACCTGTACCAGACATCAATCCATCTCTGAAGAGAAGATATTCCATTGCAGTTGCCCAGTTAAGGGGAGTCGTGTCAGTATCATTAATAGTGAAGACCAGCGTATAGGCGACGTGATTGTGAAGATTTTTACCTACACCAGGTAAATCATGAATAACCGGGACACCAACAGCGTTCAATTCTTCTCGAGGACCGATACCACTGTTCAAAAGTATTTGTGGTGAATTAATGGCACCTAAATAATAAAAATATTACACATATTTAAATCATGTTTTAATCAGAAATCAAAAAAACTACTTTTGATAATAATTAATATTGAGAAAGAAACTCATTGTATGTATATTTATATATATATATATATTTCTATTATTACAATTATAATTATTTATGATATATTTAGCTATATTAATTATAAGTTGATAATTTTAATATTAAGTCTATTTTTTAGTAATAGGAATAAATGTAGTATGTATATATTCGTGTATTTCGCAAATCATTCTGTATAATTCTGTATA